CAGCAACCCCCGACTATCGGTGACAAACCTGTCGATCTCGCCCTTGATCCTCTCCTGCTTCTATTTCTCCTTCCTAACTCCCTCCGCTTGTGCCTCTCTGATCAAATCCAAAAGTGGAGAATCAACGGATATCATTATACACATCTCTCCCGCTGAAGGTCCAGCCGACTTATGACTCAAGGCATCCACTACCACATTCGCTTTACCCGGATGGTAAAGGATCTCGCAGTCATAATCCTTGACCACGTCCAGCCACTTGCGCTACCTCATGTTCAGATTCGGTTGGTACATAAGATATCACAAACTCTTGTGATCCGTGTGAACAGTACAACGGACCCCATATAGATAATGTCTCCAAATCTTGAGGGTAAACACCACTGCCCCAACTCCTGGTCATGAGTAGGATATCGCGCCTCATGCAACTTCAGCTGCCGTGAAGTATAAGCAATCACTCGTTCCCTCTGCATATGGACCGCCCCTAAACCAATGATGGATGCACCACAAAATACCACGAAATCCTCGACACCCTCTAAAAGGGTCAATATCGGGGCCTCGCAAAATCTCTGACCCAGGGTCTCAAATGGTGATTGCTGCTGAAGGCCCCATCGGAAATCCACTCCCTTCCTTGTCTAACGAGTGAGGGGTACAATAATCATGGATAATTCATGGATAAATCCTGGATAAATCTCCAATAATATCCCGCCAAACCCAAGAAACTCCTGATCTCTGAGGGATCAGAACCTCCCACTACATCATTGCCTCGATCTTGGCCGCATCGACCAAAATCCCGTTTTGGTTAACGAGGTGCCCCAGGAAATGGACATCTTGTAACTAAAGCTCACACTTCGAGAACTTGGCGTACAACCGTTCTTGCCTCAACACTCCCAAAAGCTCTCGAATGTGCTCCTCGTGCTGTTCTCTGGTCTTGGAATACACCAAGATATCATCAATGAACACAATAACTGATCGATCGAGCATCGGCCTACATACGTGATTCATCAAATCTATAAACATTGCAGGCACATTGGTGAGCCCAAATGGCATCACTACGAACTCGTAATGCTCATAACGAGTCCGAAACGCGGTCTTCTCTACGTCCTCCTCTCTCACCCTCACCTGATGATACCCCGACCTCAAGTCGATCTTGGAGACCCAAGATGCACTCTGCAACTGATCAAGGAGGTCGTCAATCTGCGGAAGTGGATAACAGTTCTTCACCGTCAACTTGTTCAATTCCCGGTAATCAAGGCACATCCGATGTGAACTATCCTTCTTCATGACGAACATAATCGACGCTCCCCACGGGAAACTGGTCGGTTTGATAAAATGCTTTCCCAACAACTCCTGAAGCTGAGAGGACAACTCCTGCATCTCGGGTGGTGCCAAACGGTACGATGCATTGGCAATCGGAGCCGCACCTGGCCCGCATCAAGATCATCTCATGGATCGCTATCATGAATGATGCTTTATTAAAAGGTACTATCTTCGTATCCTTAACACCTGGGATACATAGTGAGACTTAAGTGTAGGGAATATTGTGCTTAGATATGGTCAAACGTTGGTCCTTAACCGGACAGTTATAAAAGCCATTTTTAGGTATGGTATGAACTATGCAAGAGGCTTATGTAGTCAAAATGGGATTTGTTCCTCTTATGTGTTGAGAGTTAGACATCTAAGACACCTTACCAAAAGTTGAACACCATATGAGATTGATTGCGATCCGTATCTCATGTTTAACATGATGTCTGTGAAAAAGGGATAACTGATAAACTTACCTTATACACCAATTTTAGCTTGGAGCTTTTGGGGAATTGGGTGTTGATAAAATGGCACAAAGTCGTATGTTGATGGGGCCAGTGAATGTTGCTAGACGTTCACCACTGTCTATATCAGTCTAATATGAATCTTGCGCAAGTGGGAGATTGAAAGATCTAGTATGTTCAAGAATCATATTAAAGTGATATTGTTAATTAACATATGATACTAAAGAGTCACACTAACAACTTGATACAATTGATTATTTATTAGAAATCGAGTTTAATAAATATTTAATAAACTGTTATAATTAAATTGGAAATTATTTATTTCTAGGAAATATTAATTTTCATTTTCAAGTAGCATAATATATCATACGGTATGATTTCTTAAGTCATGTACAACATTTTGGACCATAAGGACTTTTTGTCTTTTACCAAAAGGTTAGGGTTTATATTTTATAAAAGAGTTTATAAAAATTTACAAACCTTGTATTCTTTTTTGTACCAAAACCATGGCTTGCTTCTTATCGGACAAGTGATGGTCATTTGATTATTTTAACGGAAAGAAGACACGACTTCCAAGAATGGGGAACACTTAGCTTTTAGGTGCATGGAGTACCTAACTAGTTAAGGACTTATGTGTAAAGAACTTGCTTTAAGTGCAGGCTTTGATCTCTTTATTCATTTAAGACCAAAAACTGTAACATGGTATGCAGATACACCCTCTCACACTTTTGGTTCAAGCATGAAGACCACTTGCTTATTCTTATACTCTCTTGAAGTTCACATTGGTTATGAACTTCAAGCTTAATAGATTAAGAGTGTTCTTGCAAGATTAGCATCTTAAATCAAGTTGATAACTTGTTGGTGTCTCTAAAGTTCATCATTCTTCATCAACTTCTAAGCCTATCAAGAGGATCCAAAGAACTACAAAGGTTGTTATTTGTTCTTCTTCTTATTTGGTTGTGTTTGTTTTCTTTCCAAACTTTGCAAGAAGATCATTGGTGAGTTTAACTTGTTTATGTTATTTAAAATATTTTAAGTCGTTCGTTGCTAAAAAAAAAAATCATGTTTTGAAACTAGTTTTTGAATGTAAACCCAACACGTTGACCGTAAGGCTTGACTTTTGACTTATGAACTTTTGTTCAACTAATGATAGGTAGATTAAGGTCTTGCCTTGTGTGATTATCTAGGTGGCATTACACCTGTTTTGGGATTTTGAGAGTGTGTTGACTTTTGAGCTTGTTTGCGAGGTGAGTTTCCTTCACTATACTCATGGGTCGAAGGCACCAATGCCGACCCACTAAATTATGTTTAGAGGTTGGTAGTTGTCTTCGTGACAATTTCTTGCTATGTTTGTATGTTATCTTTGTGACTCTTGTTGTTATGATTGTATACTAGCGGTAGGGGTGAAATAGACCTGATATCGGTTGAAAGAGACCGAAATGGGTGAAATAGACCAAGTACCGGTTGAAAGAGACCGAAGGGGTTGAAATATACCTAGTGTCGGTTGAAAGAGACCGAAGGGGGTGAAATAGATTCAATTATGTTTTGACTATTATGTATGTATGGTATGAGGTATTTTGGGGAGGCTCACTAAGCTTTGTGCTTACGATTTTCAGTTTATGTTTCAGGTACTTTCAGCTCGAAAGGGAAGGGCCCGACTTGATCGCACCGCATCCGCCCATGTTTTCCGCATTATGTGATTTTGGGATTTTGTGCTCTGATGTTATTTCACTATGATAGACTTTTGGTTGTTTTGACTTGATTATTTGATGTTTTGGAATGAACTAAAAATGAATTTTTATCTGGAATTTTGGGATGTTACAAAAGCCCTAGCCATACTTGCATATATCGAGTCAAGGTCCATGGTTATGAACCTAATCTTGCCTAAACCCTAATCACTAACAATAAAAAAATTGGTAAAGCTTGGTCATGAACAGGAATCTATGCTTGTACAAACTAACAAAGATATATCAACTTAAATTAGTTGTTCTAATGAAAATTCAATACTTGATATTTAGTGCCGAATGGAAACCAAAGATTAGTTAATTTGGAAAGAGAGTTGGAGCCATGGACCCCAATGATGATAATATATATTGTCTTAATCTGAACAACATATTTGATTGTTACTGAATTAGGTTCTAAGTTCTTTATATATTTAGTAACTAGTTGTGAGACCCATGTATTACATGGTTTAATTTAAACAAAAAATTAAATATAAAAATCAAAATATTTGAGAACTTTAAATTTATAAGAAAAATAATGAATTATTATAATGGAAATGTTTTTTTATCTTTTAATTTTAAACAAATAATTTAAATAAATAAAAAAGAAACTAATGAGCTTTAATTTTAGGAATTTTGAAATTAAAAAGTAAGTTTATTAATGAAATTGATATCCATTTATTACTATATTTATTGCAACTATTACATTAAAATATTATGTGGAATTTAATAAAATAGAAAAACTCATAAAATGACATGTGGAAAAAAATTATTTCAAAATAACCATAAAATGACATTTGACAAATTGAATGAGAGTTTTATAAGTGGCAAAAAAAAACCTTTATAGAGGATTCTATTCATTCTTGTAGTCTTTTGAGCAAAGAAGTAGTTCTTAGCTACTTTGTATCATCTAAAAGCCCTAAAAAGATGACCTGGTAGTCAATAGGATGTGTGCTATGTGAGGCTTGAAACTTGACTATTCCATGTCCTTTGAAGTCCAAAAAAGAAAGGAGTTAGATGCTCTAAAAATGTCATTCTTCCAGTTACATAACTTCTTTACGTTAGCCAGCTCTATGTTATAATATTACATGGTGCTCACAATCTTTGAGGGAGAAACATGTTAAGACAATGCTTTATTGCTTTATATTTTCTATTCTTGGAATTAGAATCAAGTATCAACAATGAAAATCTTATTAGTAATAACATTTTCAATAAATAATTGAGAATTTCAATGCCGAGAGGCCTGCAGAAGATTGATCTTTGTATGGGGAATATTTGTACATTGATCGTATACATTGAGTTGATTTAAGGTACCAAAATGATGTTGAAACAGCAGCTACACTTTATAGCATACCTATTCAATGTTTATAGGATCTTTAGGACAAACAAATGGTGAAAGTCTGAAAGATAACATTTGATATATGAATTAAATTATGCTGTCCATTTCGATATTAAGAGCAAAGTATTATAAAAAAACAAATCACAAATCATTCATTTAAAGGATCATAATAAACCTCAAACGCCATACATTACCATTACAAGAAAGTACTTATAAACAAACAAATAAAAAAGAATGCAAAAATCACAAGATTTTTGGTTTCTTTTGTTGCCAAAAATTCTACATATTAGTGGTTGCTGATTAAAATTTAGACAAAAATTAAATAATGATACACACGGGAAGTAAACTTATGCATCCCTATCATTTCATATTCCTACGGATCTCCCTAATCTGTCTCTTAAAATCTGCACTCCCATGTACCTGCGTCACACCAAATACAAATTTCAATACATGACATCAACTATTTCATGTAACATCTAACAATCAATTTTTAGGGTACCTGCCCAACATCATAACAGTAGCTTGCGGATTGGTGCCTGGGGATTCACGAAAAGTTGACCCATCAATGACGCGAAGTCTGTGGACCCCACGGACCTTGTAGTCCTTGTTAACCACCTGGCCCACATGGCACCCACCATGGTAGTGCCAGATGGTGATCACAGTATCTTTACAAAATTGTTTAAGTGACTTTGTGTCATTTGTGTGTTTTGGAATCATGTTGACGTTTGCAGTGACACTCATGTTTAGCAATTTGTCTATGGTTTCTTTATCACATTTGGTGTAATTAAGGAAATGTTTGGACCTCACGAGTTTTTCCACGATCTTGATCCCTTTCATGCACTTTTGGAGGTCTTTTGGGTGGCTAAAGTAGTTAAATGTAACGATTGGATTGTCATCCGGATTTGTGTTGTTCAACCTCAAATGCCCTTTCGACTTTGGGTATGCAAGTTTTGCTAAAATGAAACCCCCGTGAAATGCTTCGTGTGGGAGATCTTTTTTGTTTTGTTTGAAAGCTTCAATGGCTTCTTGTGTTCGTCTTTTTGGAGGAATCGTTGAAAGTTGCCCGATCTGTTGATTCATATACAAAACAACATTGTCTATGAGTTGCCATATATAATAAGAATCCTAATAACCACATTGGTCTAGCCAATAGCATCATAGTATATATAACATGTAAGCTTGATATCCATCAATTCACATTGGAATTTACTGAAAGTTAGCTGTCAAACAAGTGACAACTATATGTCAACAACTTTTGCAAGTATATGATATGACAATCCTAATACCAGAGTTCAAGATTTTGTGACTAACCTCGGCGGAGGCGACGCCATGGTGGCAGTGAATGCTATCGGGAGACTGACTATACCCGCTGCTTGCTTCAATGTAAACACCCATTTTCGTGATCCCAACCGTTTCAATCAGCGACTGCTTGACAGGCCTATTCAACGGGACAAAAATGGTGTTCAACGGGTTATCGGAAATGTGTTTCCCGACAAATTTGTTATCTTGCACCACCGAAATGTTCAACTTCTTGAGATCTTCCTTCGGTCCTATTCCACTAAGCAATAACATCTGCGGACTACCAATTGCCCCACAAGTTACAATAATCTCGCTCTTTCGCCTCCTCGATATGAAAGCTTCATGGTTAACACCATTTTCGTCTTTGAAAATTACCCCAATTGCCCTCGGTTTTTTCCCTAAGTTATCAGAAACAAAGTGTCAATTGTCAATTGTCAAATACATTGATTTTGAATGTTAATAATACATACCAGTTGTGTCAAAAAGGACCTTTTGAACTCGGGCATGAATCAAAACATGGAGGTTCTGTGAATTTCCGGAGGCTAGAAGCTCTGCGGCGGTGTGCCGGCGGCCATATTTATCGAAAATTGTCCCGCCGATTTTTGTACCGTACAAGTGGTCGTAGGTGAATCCATTGTTGGGTGAAATTCCGACTTCTAGAAGCCCGTCTCGAACCGCTCTTTGCCATGGTTCGAATACGGGTTCATGGACTATTTGTTTTTCGACCCATGGGTATGATTCGTTTACCAACTTTGCATCCCATCCTACCCTTTTAACATAACTGCAGTGCAACAACAACACGAAATTTATTAGTTCAATGGAGCTAAATAACATCAAATTTTCAAAATGACCAAAATAACCCCACACGACTAATACGGCTTGTGTCATAAGTGTTTGTTTAGGATTCCCCAATCTTCTTAAATAAATTTGGCAACTTCGACTCATGAAAAAGGGTTGGGCCCTTCTATAATTCTACCAAAATATATTTAAATGTTTAGCTAAAAAAGTTATATATTAGATGGGGTTGACCCTTTTGTAATTCTAAGAAAACGGGTTTAGCTAAAGAAATATACTAAGAAGTTAGTTAAATGATTATAAAATAGGTTTAGTTAAATAAAAATACTAAAAGTTTAGTTAAGAGTTACAGATTAAATGGGTTGACCACTTTATAATTCTACCAAAATGGGTTTAGGTAAAAAAAATAATGCTAAAGTTTAGCTAGAAAGTTGTAGATTAAATGCGTTGAGCCCTTTATGATTCTACCAAAATATACTTGATATTTGCAACATCTTAATTATTTTATTAGAATAATGATAATTAAACGCGATATTAGCAAAAATATTATCATGAATGAAAATTTTAATCAAAATGAAAATGCTTCTTGTGTTTTGAAATTATTTTATTTTATTTTATTTTATTTTATTTTTTTGTCTGGAATGACAATTCCGGACATTTTACCTGATAAGATAGAAATTTAATTGAAAAATCAGTTATATTAAACATTTTGAAATGATTATTTCAAACATAAGACACATTTTCAAATGGTCATTTCAAAATGGAAAACTAAAAAAAAAAGTTACATTATGTGTTACCACCGAATCCGAAATGCCTAATCATTTTAAAAAAAGGTACAACAAAATGGTCAAATATATTTATAATTTATTATACACACAAAAGTGATCATTTTTTGTAAATATCGTCAATTTATTTTATAACACTGACTGGTTTCTAAACACGATTTGATTTATCCTAACAAGAATTTACTCAATTTTTTGTTGTTTCCCAAACTGTCCAACCCATCCACCTGTGCCATCTACAGATTTGTTTTTATTTAGTTTAAAAATATATCTATTTATTCGAAATTAAGATTTAATCGGCTAAATATGAGTTATCATGTCATCAACTATTTATGTTTTAAAAAGTAACCCATATAAGAAAAAACATAGTACAAATTATTGGTGGTCCATTGAGCTCACATTTCACTATCAAAAGCAACATAATAATTTGCATCTACTGTTAAAACCCCAAATCTAAACAGAAAAATGCCTAAATAACACTTTGAAAACAACTATAGGACGATGATTGGTAGGCCCATTATTAATACATTGTAGGCCCGAATCAACAAAAATAGGGTAGAAGCCCGTTTTAGCAATGTGCAAAGTACAACTCTATAAGGTATGCACCTTCATACCATAAATAAAACTATAGGTCGAAAAATAAAGCAAAAATTTAATACTATCACAAAATGTATTTATGACTTTTTTGTACTGTTAAAGTCATGTTTGATAAATCAGTTGAAAACTAACTGTTAATTGAAAAATTAATTGATAGCTGATAAACAGATTTATAAATTAATAATATTAGATAAAAAATAATTTATAAATTAGATTGGAATGTAAAATTACATGAAAATATATTTAGATATATAAATAAAAGTAAAAACAGTATAAAAAAAACTCTATATAAGCTTCTTAAAAGTTATCTTAAAATAGTTTATCAAGAATTAATTATAAGCTAGTTTCATAAGCTAAAATAAGCTATTTTTGTAGTTTAATAAACAGTAAATTACAATAAACTAGTTTATTTTTGACAAAAAAACCTAATTAAACTACAACTACCTCATAGCTCACTTGTTCAAAAAATATTTTTATTATAATAATACAGTATAAACAAACATTTAAATTCTTTAAATTCTGATAGTACTTAGTAAAAGTTAAACCCAACTGTGCTTTTAACATCTGAAATAGTTGACTGTTGAATAAATAACTCAACAACTAACTAACGTACAACAAAGCGATGCATGAATGTAGTAAGAGTTATACCTTGTGCTTGCTCGAGTGTAAAATCCTGCATTGATGGAAGTACCACCACCCAACACTCTAGCCCTCGCATTAAAAACTCCATCGGTGGATACAAAAAACTGAGAAGCAGAAGCAGGTGAGGTGTCCACAAGGGTAAGATGGAAATTTGACAACAGAGACACATTTATGTTGGCAAAAGGGACACCACCCCTTTCTAGTAATAACACACTGTAGTTTCTAGACAGTGTAGCTGCCAATGGACACCCTGCGGTGCCACCTCCCACTACGATGTAGTCAAACTTCTTTTCTCCGCCGTTGGATCGCGTTGACTTTGACGATGATACGGAGGAGAAGGAGCTCGCTCGTCGGATGAAAGGGAACTGTTGTTGCCAAAACCTGTAATCACCTGCATCGCAGATGGAAATGTACGCAACTGCCCTTGTTACTATATTCAAGGATTTGGTTTCCCAAAGCTGCCAACTAATCGTGGAAAAATTAAAAGTGTATTCCCTTTTGCAATTGCTACAAGATATTCTTTTATTAATTTAATAAAATTAATTTTATAGCATTTTATGTGAACCGATATATAAAGAAATAAGTTTATGGAATTAAAGGGTTGAAAAATATATAGAAATGAATAATAAAACAATAAATGTATCGTATATTTTTTAGAGTTACCAAATAAAAATTACACTGTTCCCAAAACTAAATTTTCTTTTAGTAAAGCCAGAAATAAAATTTGAGGTATAAGCAAGAACAAAAAATGGATTAGCTATTAGAGCAAAATTTATGAATCTTTTCTCAATTTGACAATTTTTTATACCAGAACCTTGATTTGGACAAATCCTAGAAATGTGTTGCTCATGTAACAAGATTCATGATTTATGAATCAAAATTGGCCATTTTTTTGTGCCTGAAATTTGAATTCGTTTGAGCCATGAATCAAAACCCAGAAATGTACTGTAACTATGACAGAGAAACATGATTTTTTTTTCCAAAGTTGCCACCTTTTATACCAAAAAGATGAAGCTTTTCAAAAACCAACAAATTAAACAAGGTGAAAACCAAAACCCATAAATTAAACAACAAAAACAATATCCAAATCATTAATTATTTTGATAAAAAAGAAAAGAAAACACTCTTAGAATCACACAAGAACACATGCATATATATATATATATATATATATATATATATATATATATATAGAGAGAGAGAGAGAGAGAGAGAGAGAGAGAGAGAGAGAAGAAGAAGAAGAAGAAGAAGAAGAAGAGATTAAAGTTGTAACCTTGAGAGGAGGTGATGAGGGTGGCAAGACATGAAGAGAGAAGAAAAAGGGAGAGAAAGAGTTTGGTGTGGAGTGCCATCGGAGACAAAGGCTTCAGTAAACAACAGTATTTGCACCTTCAACTTTCACTTCTGTGGCCAATTCTGGTTGGTCTTGTTCTCTGTGAAAGCACCCAACTTAGCTTACCTTCGTCATTTAATTTCTCATATATATATATATATATATATATATATATATATATATATATATATATATATATATATATATATATATATATATATATATATATATACACACTAAGGAAGAGCAATTATGACGCCATTAATTCATGTCAAAAAGATAAAGCAAAGGAGATAACGTAAATACCATGTACACATACACCCAAGTATATACAACTTTTTCTCTTTAAATGCTATGAGAGAGATGGAGTCAAGAACCTCATAAATCAGTTTCAAAGTTAATAGATCATATAAGATTTAAAGATTTCCGGGTGATGGAATAAAATTTATTTTGGGAGATTATATTAAATTTTTTTAGGAAAATCTTTAGAAAAATCATAATATTTTATCTTAATTTACGAAAAAATCTTAAACTAAAATTCATTTACAAGAAAGTCCTAATTACCGATAAAAATGATGATTTTATTCATTTTTTCTGGTTTACCGGTTTCATTAAGTCACATTATTTTACCATAATTTACGAATAAGTCCCAAAATAAAATTAAGTCATGATTTGACAATTTTCTCCATTTAACATACATTTTACCGGGTTCATTGCTGATCTGGACGTCTAGTCATTAAATTAACTGATAAAATAGATACAATGGTTTATATAATGCTACGTTTACTGTAAAATTAGATATCAATCTCAGCGGCTCATTTATGATTATGTATCCCGCTCAGCAATGAAACCGGTAAAATGTCTGTTTCTGGGTAAAAGGGCGGGAAATGAGCTGATGAGATAGATATATTGGATTACATAAGATTAGATAGACGATTTGAAATTTCTTATAAACTTCAAAAATGACGAATTTGTTGCTAGTTTATGTAATTATTGTAGTTTTCGTTGGATAAATTTTATATTTCAAAATATATAAGTAGATCAGGATATCAAGTTGTAACACTGCATTTCAGGTTTTTCCCTTTAATCCCTTCATTTAAAATTTTTGCCAATTTGGTCCCTAGCCGAGTACGCTGGGCGTACTCTATAAGTACGTTGGGCGTACTGGCTCGTAGGTTTGGTCGCGGAGGCGCCCACGTATGCGGGGCGTACGTGCGGCTGGGGTAAACCCTAATTTTTAGGGTTTGTGCCCTATTTAAACACCTTAAGTTGCCTTGGGAGTTTCTTATGACCAGCCTCGACCTCTCCAAACCCTAAGAACAAAACCCTAGCCTTTATTTGAGTGTTTGTGAGCCATTGTTGTGATCTTGTGGTGTTTTTGGATCCTTTGAAGGAGGTGAAACTTGGTGGTGAAGCTTTGGTGGACTTGGAGCTTGAAGATCCAGAATCTTCATCAATTTTGCAAGTTATTTGAGGTATAAAGCTCTTAACTTGATGAATCATTTGGTTAGATCTAGTTAGGGTTTGTTTTTATGCTTTTTATGGTCCTTTAAGCCATGCTTGAGAGTATGAGCTACTCCAGAAGCTAGGGATGGTAGATCTTGGCATTTTTGAGGTTCCTTGTTCATAAAAATCCAATCTTGATGAGTTATCTTGGACCATGCATAAGTTAGGGTTACTATTATGGTTCTTTTTGAGTATTGGGTCCCATTAAGGCATTAAGTCATGAAAGGGTGTAAAGTGCCAACTTTACGTGTTAAGACATCATTTATGTAACGACCCGAAACTCACGACATAAAAATTTTTGTTTTTAGATTAATAAATCGTTAATACATATTGTTTCCATAAACTAGAGTAACTAATATTTAGCAAAACATCATTAAACCAGAGTAATCACATAAAGCGGAAACATGTGATGTGTGCTCTATTTGAAAATCGGAGTACTTGAAACATAAACTGAAAACCGTAAGCACAAAGCATAGTGAGTTCCCCAAAATACCATATAACATACAACCACATAATATCATGCAACATGCATATAGTTGCCATGGGCTCCCCCATGGTCTTGACCTAGAATGCCATGGGCTCCCCCACATGGTCTGATATCCAAGTGTCATGGGCTCCCCCATGGTCTTTACCTGGAATGCCATGGGCTCCCCCACATGGTCTGATATCCAAGTACCACGGGCTCCCCCCGGGGTCTTCCATGCAAGTATCAAAGAGACAACTAGCATTCCACATAACACGTAATGGGCCGACATTAGTGCTTTCGACCCATGGATATAGTGAGAAGACTCACATCGCACTGTTGAATCATACAAAAACATCATTGGCTGCTGGCTGACAGACCCTCAACTGTCAATAACAAAAAAATACCCAATTAATAATTGGGTTCTAATCGATAATCATAACTTCAATCTTGGGGTAAAAAGACCATTTTACCCTTACCCTAGCCTTGACCAAAACTATGGCCCAAACTAAAATCTAAAAGGCCCAAAGGCCAACTAATCAATCAATGGCCCAATTTTTCAAATTGGGCCCAAGCCTCTACATGGGCCTTACCCTAAGATCCAACCATCTTTCTAGTCCAAAACACTTGGCATTCCGATGACCCATTAGCCAATACTCATCCAAAGCCCGCTTATGGCCCAATTTTCCAAATTGGGCCCAACCCTTTCCAATGGGCCTTGTCCTAAAGCCCAATAATTTCCTTGGTCTAAAAACCTGATTTCCAGATGTCCACGAAGGCCCACAACAACTAAGGTGTTGTTTGTTTTTTGAGAGGCAAAACGTCTGCAGTCTGCGGATCATATCTGCAAACATCTGCAGTAGAAGAGGTGGACTAAACGTCTGCAGTCTGCAAGAAGAAGACTGTTTGTTTTTTAACGTCTGCAGTCTAGTAAAATATACTAAAATTTTAATAAAATTATTTTTTATACTTAAAAGACTTTTTCAACACAAAAATTTAAAATAATTTTTGTTTTATAACACTAAAATATAAATCATACATAAATCCTACAACCACAATTTTTTTTTTTAAATTATACAACATTGAAACATAAATCTAACCTCTAAAATCTATTATTTTTAAATCATACAATATTACAACATTGAAACATAAATCTAACCTCTAAAATCTATTATTTTCAAATTATACAACATTGAAATATAAATCAAACCTCAAATCTTTTTGACGTCACATGGAAACAAAGTTGCAATTCATGAATCATTCCTCACACTCGTGTTCTAATTTCACATATTATACAAATGTTTATAACTTATAGGGTTCTATACATGTTACAAAAACATTTCACCAAAAGCATTTCATCAAATAGTAACCTGAATCCATCAGTCATTTGTGTTTATAGAATGTGAGTCTTCATCAAATAGCTTTCCTGCATCCATGAGTCACTAATTAATACCAATGAACTACAAAATATATGAATTACAAGCATTAAAACATCATATATGAAATACTATTCCAGCAACAATAAAGCCTAATTTCACTTAAAACATAATTTCCAACAGCTATATACATCTAATTTCAATTAAAAAATGTAATTTTCAGCAACAATAACAACTAATTTAAGCTAAAATGTGATTTCCAACAAAAATATATACATCAAATTTCAGTTAAAAATGTGATTTCCAGCAATAATAATAACTAATTTCAACAAATCGAACAATATTTTTCATATTTCAGCAAGTATATATTCATTTTCAGCAAATAAATATGATTTCCAGCACCTATGAACATCTAATCTCAACAAATAAATCTGATTTTCAGTGAATGTACATATGATTTTCGTGTTTCAGCAAACTAATCTGATTTCAGTATCAATGACATCTGATTTCTAGCAAGTACAACAAACCCTAGAAGATAACATCTAATTTTAGGGAAAATGTTCTTACTGATGGCAATAGAGGTCAGAGACGATGATGATAGAGACACAATGGGTGTGAGAGGCGGTGACGGAGATGGTGGGCGCGACTGGCGGCGGTGAACGACATGAACGATTGCAGAGCATATGAGAAATCCGGCGACAATGGAGTGCGTCTGTGGTGTGGTCGGTCATGAGGAAAAAGATAGTCCTAGTCTAGACGTCGGCAACACGAGGAGGAGGAGAGAGGTTGAAGAAGACCGATGGAGATAAGCATCGATGGAGGGGGAGGCGTAGATGTATGTTGGTCATTGGAGGCACTGAGAAAAAATAAAGCGTGTTTTTTATTAGATTAAAGAGGGGTGAAGACCTTAGAAGACATTGGTCCATGTCTGCGCCAAGAAGACCTCGCGCAGACATTTTTAAGTCTGTGCACTTCTAAAAAACAAACAGTCTGCGAGGGTATATGTCTGCGCGTCGTCTGCGCGGCGCAGACAGAAGTGGTCACGCATATCTGCAGAGAAAAAACAAACAACACCTAAGTCTAAGAATGGCCCAACCCAAGGCCCACAACTGGGAAGTCCAATCTAACTGAGTACGCAGGGCGTACTCAGCAGTACATTGTGCGTACTCGCTTAATGGCTTGTACGCCCAGCGTACTCCCCTCTTAATCCCACTTTTTCCATTAAGCACTTAATGCTTAGCCCATAAGTCCAAACCACATATCTGAGTCCCAAATAACGTCTAGACCCATAAAGTCACTGACTTGGTGACTTTGCATGCCCCAAATGAACCCAAACTCAAAATATAACCCTCTACTATCATGGAAATGATTCTAACTCATGCATGGATGGATTTAGACCCCAAAGATGGCAACTTTATGACTCAAGGACAAAAGAAACACTAAGATTGGCAACTCTAAGCTCCAGAAACAATATAAACTCATAAGATCTCATCAATGGACCCAAAAAGGTTCATAAACCCAAACCAAAAGAGATCTAAGCTAAGAAACATCAAGTTCAAGACTTTATACCTTAAATGAGTGCCAAAAGTTGATAGGATTATGGATCTATAAGCCTTCACTCCTCTAGTGAAGCTTCAATGCTGACCACCTTCCTTCAAAGCACCAAAATCCACCTTACAATGACCTTCTAGGCTCAAAACACACAATCATGGAATTAGGGTTCGAGTGTAGGGTAAGGAGGATAAGGAGGCTGGTAAAATGAGGGTTTCAAGTCCATAGGAATGCTTAAATAATGGCCAACCCCGGAAATTAGGGTTTTCAAGTTCTGACCGTATGCCCCGCGTACCACCTCGTACGCCCAGCGTACGAGGTCTCGTACCCCGGCACAAACCTCGCACCTACGTTGCGCGTATTTAACACTACGCCCTGTGTAACCGGCTTCGCATAAGTACGCCCTTCGTATCTCCTTGGTACGCCCCGCTTACTAGGGTTTTCCCCAAACCCTAATTCTTCCGAAGGCCATAACTTTCTCGATACAACTTCAATCCCGACGATCCTTATATCCATATAAAGGTAC